ATAATAGTGGAAAGTTTTTGGATTTGAAGAGAACAAATTTTGAAACATCAAAATTATCAAATTAATTATTTATTTTTTTGATAAATGTTTGTGTCAAATCTTTATCTAAATCTTAATATTATATCAACTTTTGAATAAAAATTTATCATTCCGATAACTACATTTTGTAGCAACTTTACTTTTTGATTAAAAAATGAGTTGTATTAAATAATCAAATGAGTTTTCTTTTATACATTTAAATTTTGGTAATTCTTTTTTTTTATTTTCATTTGATTCTTCATAAAAATGTAGCGCGATAAAGGCATAAGTTTTTTTTATAAACTTGTGACGTATTAATAGAATAAACATATTATTCTTGAATATTAATGATTTCAAATATAATAAAATATATTTAAATATAATATTAGGTGAACAACTTTGCTTCCGCCGTTTTTTTTCGAAATTCGAGGCTTTATTGTAAAAAACTGGTTATACATTTATGATTCAAAGTATTGTCCATCGCTGACCACTACTTTCTCCCATCTTTCGGGTAGCGTACGAATCCCGCGTCGAAAAAACTGGTCATCTTTTGAGGCTATCCACGAATCGATTCAATTTTTTACTTCTTCATAAGACCGGAAGTGCTGGTCAGCCAGGCCGTGTGCCATTGATTGAAACAAGTGATAGAGGGAGCAACGTCTGGAGAATACGGCAGGGGGGGTAGGACTTCCCATTTCAACGTTTCCAAGTATGTTTTGACCACTTTCGCAACATGGGGTCGAGCATTGTCATGCTGCAAAATCACTTTATCGTGTCTCTCGTTGTATTGCGGCCGTTTATCTTTCAATGCTCGGCTCAAACACGGCGCATCAATTGCGTTCGATACCGATCGCCTGTGATTGTTTCAGTTGGTTTTAACAGTTCATAATACACTACGCCGAGCTGGTCCCACCAAATACAGAGCATGACCTTGGACGTCAAAATCACCGTTCTTGAAGCGTTGAAACTCACGACACGTTTTTTCATTAATAACGGCCTCACCATAAGCATTTGAGAGCATTCGATGAGCCTCAGCAGCAGATTTCTTCATATTGAAGCAAAAAATTAAAACCTCCCGCAAATGACGAGAATTTGGCTCGTAAACTGACATTTTCAATCGAGAATAACTTTATGATGCAGACACAAATCGACTAATGTTTCTATGGGGTTATGTTGACAGATGCCCAAGTTTATTGTATGACGTCTATGATCTATTTATTTCGACCACCACTTACCGCTAAAGCCATCTATAGGAAAACGGTGGAAGCAAAGTTGTACACCTAATAAAAAAATATTTTTTGTTATATTTAAAAGACGAGTAGGTATTTATATCTCATACATGAAGCAAAGTGGACAGATTTACATATTTTACTTAAAACTTTGCTATACTTTGAGTTTCTAAATATTTTCAAAAATGCATAAAAATATATTTTTAATTACAAACTAAGACTTCGTAAAGAAAAAAAATTTTTTTGTGCATTTAAATATCTTGTTTTATTGTTTCAAAGATTAAATATATATGTCTTCTATCACTCGCGGGAAAACATCTAATTGTAAGATCATAAATATTTATGATTCTTACTAATAAATATGGCATGTTGCAAAACTTTTCTAGCGATCTATATCCAGGATATCTTTGATCATCCACAGTGAGACACCCTACAATTAAGATTAAAGCTCCTATTCAGAACGCGCTTTTATCGATAAAAACATGCTTTTATTTCTGAGAAATTCTATAATATGCGTAACGTTAAATATAGTATGTTAGCGCGCTAACATCGTTGAAAGCGTGTTCTGAATACGAGTCTACGCGTTTTATTGGATCGGCCTGTACAAAAGCGCGCTTTTATCTCTAAATTACTATAATATAAAGTAGTAGTTGTTCTGTAAGCGCGTTTTAAAATCTGAATACAAGCCATCGAGTAATTAATAAAATAGATCTTTTTAAACCTTACAACTTTTGTCTGAAACATTTCTTTCGAAAATGATTAGTTTTCAGAAACACTGAAGGATCCTGATACTTTTCGAATATCTTGTATATATATATATATGTGTATATATATATTAGACTCGATAGATTCAGGATAAAGTGTTTAGTCTTATAGTATGTCCTGATTGCGGGTGATCAGAGATACCATATTTATTAAGAGTTTAAGAAATTACTTTTCATATTTATTTATTTATTTTCATTATTATTTCCCAGGCAAAATGTATTGAATGATTTTCAAAGCTGATTACATGGTTCAAATAATATTTGATACAAAAAAATAATTTGTTCATAAAAACTAAATTAAAAATGTCATTCAAAATTAGTTATTGTTGTAGTAGGGCATCAGGGCGGTATTACATAGTCCATTAGTGAGGAAAAACCAGGTCGCAAAGATATAAAAATTTTATTTATATGAGTATGATATAAAGTCTCTAATACTTATATGGATGTTAAGTGAATTTTTAAGTATGGTAAGGATTTGTAAATAATATATTGGTATGATAACTATATTATAATATATTCTATTGTTATAAAAAATTTATAGAAATTGAAACTTGTTCTCCATACTCATCACTATCATTATATGGAATAAAAAAAATTTTACATGTCGGGATAGTATGGCTGTTTTTATAATTAAAAGGTATCGACAATTGACATCAAAATTAAGTATATAATAGACAAAAATTTAACTTTGTTTTGCTATAGATTTCTTTTATAGAAAAAATATACACTCGGACCCAGTACGGCGACCTCTTCAGGATTGCCACAGAAAATAAATTTTTAAATTTCCTGACTTTTCCAAGTTTTCCAGATGAAAATGGAAAATTTTTCATGACTAATATATGTACAATGTATAATAAATATAACTAAAATATGTAAATTTTAATTTTTAAATTCAAGAATTGTAGGAAAACTATAGTCTATATTATTAAAAACGCAAAAAAAGCTTAGTAGCATAATAAAAAAATTTTGGATACAAATTCAAACCAATAAAAAATAAATTAGTTTTGAAAAAAAGAATGCATGACGAAAAAAAGGGATCAAATAAAAATACTGAATATAAATTTTAATTATTTTGTTAAATCATTTAAAGTGCGCAAGTTTTGAACGTATTTGACTATAAACGTCAGATATAATATTTTAAAAATTATAACAATTATTTGGAAGGAGCAGTTTAAAGAAATTGTGAGCAAATTTCGAAATTCCAGTTTTTTTTACATTTTCCTGACTTTTCTTGGTTTTCCATGATCAATTTCAATTTCCCTAATTTTTCCCTAGGTTTTCTAGGTCTGTCGATTTTTAAATCGATCTGAATTATAATCGTATAGATCAATTCAAAAATCGGACCGTTAAAAATCAATTCTTAAAAAATCAATTTTGTAACCTTTGATTGCATCAACAACATACTTTAACTTTAGGCGAGGCTTAAAACTCTCAGTTCTCTTTTTAAAGCCGAAAGAGAAGAAGAGATAGAAAGTTTTAAGCCTCGCTTAAAATCAAAATAATGATGCAATCGGGCCTTAACTGATTAAAACCTAATGTTGGTGCCACCATAAGAGCACAACAACCATACATACATATAAAGATCAGCGCACAACCATTTTTACCTTGAAATTCAAGATTCGTATAAAATAAAGCAAAACAAACTCGTCTTTAAGTCTTTAAAGTTTAATGGCTAATTCAATTGAACTAATGTGTACTGGTGTATATTAATAAATAATAAAATCGTGTTGTATATTGATTCAATTTAAGTGTAAAAGTGAAGTGCAAATTGCAAATATTTCGAATTATAAAATACATATTTTACCTCACAGCACAATAAAGCAATGAGTATTTCACAATTTATCCCATTTTTATGTTTATTTATAAACATTTCTATGTTAATTTATATACGACGATTTTAATATGCATCAGTGCGTCCAATCGAATGCGTTATAAATTTAAAAAATATACCCAAGCAAAACAACAAATCACGATAATGTCAGACATTAAAATGAATCGGAAATGATTGAAAAATGACTTTTAGTGATCATTTTGGAGTCATTTTAACATCATAGTGACTTGTTCTGCTTGGGTAATCACACTCGCTTGCTTTCGAAGTCGAATGATCAATTCGATTTTTTCGTGAAAGAATCGATCTGCGAATTTAATCAAGACACGAAAATCAATGCAAAAAACCAGAAATTGAGATTAAAAAGATCGATTCGAATCGCCTATCTCTAATTACAAGCACTTAAAGCGCGACCGCAGCCAGAGTCAAATGATCGAATCATACGATCATACGATCATCACTTTTTTTACACTTACACTTTTTTTCAATTTTTCCAAAATATATAAATTTGTAAGAAATAAGAGTTTCGGCAAAATAATACTTTTTCCAATAAATGGTTACTAAGTATCTTTAAATGTTCTTATAATTCTCTTATTTATCATATCTATAGTTCGTTAAAGTACAAGCTCACTGAAGTACAATTCCCTATATCGAAGACAAGCGAAAATCGGAAGTTTATGAAAAAAAAAGTCTTATTGACGAATTCGTGAACATTTATGAATAAATAACTTCAAGGCTCGTTTTCGAGCGTGACAGCACGAGAATGTGACTTTATGCGAAACTGAAAAATCAAAGAGTCATTCTCGCGTGATTAGTGAAGAACTTATCGAAACTCTATATATATATATATATACAGGGTGAATCAGAATCGTTAAACATTCTTACTCTATGAGAAAATAATTGACTGCATTATAAATCAATTAGATATGAAGTCGATAATTTTCTCATAGGGTAAAAAGTTGGTTCAACGACTCTGATTCACCCTATATATTCCAGCAGACACGGTAGTATCTCGGTACATATATCGAAAACAGACTCGTATAGAACGTCATGAAAATCATAGAGGCAGTAGTAAAATTCATTATCAATGAAATACGAGTAGCAGCAGCGAGCAGCGTGAGACGAAATAAAATAAGTTGTATTAAAAAATTGTGATATCACCTGATACGCCGAAACGAAAGATCCGGTCATCGCGTGAGATCGCATCATCAGCGGCGCGGGCGATGAGGTTAGAAATCCTGGAGAGTAATTGCTCCTCATCGGTGGCCACCACTATCCCCGTCATTGCGTGGATTTCTTCGCGTATGGCAAGATAAGAGCGAGGTTACCCGTATCATGTACTTTTGAACACGACCAAACACGACGACACGATGTGACACACGACAGTCAATGTTAAATAGTCACTGAGTGCTAAAAGTTGTGATCGTCAACTCGGATGACTGAACAAAGTTTTAATGGCTGTGTCACAGTATAAATGCATACAGAATGGACAGCGAACGTCGGCACCTTTGATATAGTGGGTCCCAGGTAACATAAATTGCCGCCATGTTATGGATTGGAAAGGCGTTTATAAATTTGAATTTTTATAAAGCTACAGAATGATTTTTCTAAAAAAAAAACATAATTTGGTCCTGTTGTGAAAATGTTTATAGCGTATATATTTTTAAATAAAATGTTTTATCGTATACAAATATAACAGTTTACACAATATAGTGTCTCCGAAAAAATTTGATTTAATGTTTTAATAAAATCAAAGGAATATCATAATCAGTAGGGACACTCCGTGTCGGCACCTTTGATCTCGCGTCACAGTTATGTGAGCATCTGCCATATTAATGTTTAAAAAATCCAGGATCGAAAGAGGATATAATGCTCCATGTGATAGTCCATTGCTTTGCTCTAAAAAATATAATAAAATTAAAGATGCCGTGTAAACATAGTCAATGTAAAAATATTATTTTTTTTTACAAAATTACATTTGATTATGTTTAAGTTAACCTAATAAATTACTTACTTTTTGTAAATTATAAACTTACCTTACGATATCTTTTTGGGATAACGAAAAAAAACATTGTGAATTTTTACTATTATTACTGCATTGTTTAATACTGCACGTAACATAACTTTTCTTTTTTTTATCTATTTTTTAGAAATATTTACGGTGCAGCTCTTGAATTGTTTTCTTTTGCCACGGATATTTGGTCACAGGAGATCTGTGTAATATGTACGTTCTTGTCATCTTGCATTTCATTGGATCTGGCCCAAAACAAAAGCTGCGCAGCCATACTTGGCGAACACGCATTTTTTCGCTGAGTGTCTCTACTGGTTATACTGTGGTAAAACTTAATTTTATTAACTCTTTGTCCTACTTTTCTCTTACAAATTAAAAAACATTAAGTTTTTGTGAATGACGTACCACAGTTCTCACCCATGATACTCATGTTTGACTGATTTTTTTATCATGAGTTTCACACGATATTGTAAGCGAAAGAGTTAATTATATTTTATGAGAAGGAGATCCAGCTAAGCTAATTTAACCTGCAATTTCTTACTGAAGACAGCCATATTCCTGGTTGAAAATCGACGCATGCGCACTAAAAATTGGAGATCACATAAAAAGTTCAGTGTCCCTATTGTATGTACTTATACTATGGCTGTGTTTTAAAATTCACTGCCAGCACTGAAAATTTATATAGTTTATGCATAGAGCTTATATTACTGGAGAGGGAATATGCACATCGAGCTGTGAGCAAGATTTAAAGGACAGAAGTATCTTTCTATCCTCTTCTATCCTCTTTTCGCACATGCGCAGAAAGAAGAAAATAATGTTTTCGACGGCGAATTTATTCCCATTTGGGTTGGATAATGTTCTACTATTAGGTGACATTATATGTTTCATCAATAGGAGAGCATACAACTCATTAATCCAACTAGGTTGGTGCAAATCCGCTCGGGTTAAATACGCCAAAAGTTACTAAGCAGGACTATACTTCTTCTGTCTATAAAGCTGACTTTTCATACGCAGCACACTACGGTACCAATTCGCAGCTATTGGTTAAAAATTTTATATGAAATGACGCACTTCTGATGCAAAAAACATTTTGCCGCCTCTCATTGAAATTCAACCGAATAACGAGCAGCAAAGAATTCGAAACCGAGAAAGTCTGCAATATTTGCAAAAAATGTGAAAATTGAGTACATTTATGAGTACATACAATGAGCACATTTTTATTAAGATTTAAAGTAATGAGGATATTCTAAATTCTAAATAATTATCTGAAATCATAAATATCCAAATTGTAACTGTACTAACAGTTGCCATATAATCAAGCTTTTTAAGTTTTCCATATTAATTTTCGAACTGAGCAAATAAAAGACATTTAAGATTAAACTTTAATACATATGCTGTTACTTATTTTTTTTTTGTTTCTTATTCGATTTTTTATTTTATATTGCCCGAGATAAAAGTTAACGAATTTCGAAAGAAAGGAATATATGCAAAAACTACAATTATTGATATAACGGTTGTAAAGGAGAAAAAAAAAGGTAAAAAACAAATAGGAAATAAAGAGCACATTACAAAACAGGCTTAACTCTTATCGGTTTTTTATTTTATGTCGCCCGAGATAAAAGTTAATGAACAGAAATACAATTGTCGATAAAATGATTGCAAAGAGGGTAGAAGTAAGAGCCAAAAAGCAAGAAACATAGGAAACAAAGAGCATATTGTAGGATAGAGGCTTTAATATTCGAAACAACAAAGACAAAATGATACTCGAAGGCATTTGGATAGTATTCTAGTAGGACCACCAGTCTCCCCTTTTATTTCGAGTATTACCAGCATTTGTAGTAACCTCATAGCTATAACACAGGAAATGAAGAACTAATATCTAATATAGCTGTCATATATGGAAATCGTTTCCGGCCGACATCTTTATCGCCATATAAACTGCGTTCATTATGGACGCTCATGCGCTTTAAGCGCTTGCAATCATCATTCTATCTTTATCAAGCGCTTTCAGCTTGAAAAAAAATCCGCATAAAAATATACTACTAGTGTTACTATTAGTGCTACTATTAGTGCAGGAATAAATTCGCGTCACTATACTATTCCTTGCATTCAAATCATTTTTATATGTATTACAATAGTGTACTAGACAATGCCATTGCTTGTTCCAGCAGTAGCACTTGTACATTACTGCACTAATAGTGTCGCAACTCATCTTAGTAGTGATACTATAGTAATACTAATGCGAATTTATAATTACACTTCCAGTCACAAGTAGTATCACTACTCATACCAGTAGTGACACTACACTAGCATGATACTAGTAGTATATTTTTATGCAAGAAACGTAGCCAAACATCAAGCAACACGTAACAAATATGGCGATAAAAATACCGATTGGAATGTGCCGGAAAGGACAGCCATATTGAATATTAGTTCCTCATTTCCTACGTCATAGCTATGAGGGCGCTACAAATGCTGACAACGGAAAAACCATGGCAGTTTGGTGACCCTGGTATTCTAGTATTTTCGAACGCAGCCTAGTGACTTTATTGAGTAATCTTGGATACCCTTTTCGACGCCTTATCATTTATGTTGACCATTGCTCAGTGCTCATAAACATTACCGATCATTACTGGAACGATTGTTAAAACGTTGTTATATCTTGATCTGTACAGAAATCTGTACTGTTCCATTGAAGATGAGCGACGATGATCGTGACATTGATATCGAGAGTGATGTAAGTAGCACATAAGGGCGAGTTTATTCTCGCTAGAATTTCTGATTAAACTTCCATCTTTTTAGGATGGCGATGATTCGGATTCAAGACTGAGGCACTCCAACAACACGCAATACTACTCTCAGGTGAGATTCCATGATCTGCCCTGGAATTTTTCGCCACGGCCGACAATTAAATCTCTGTTATTGCACAACGAGAAAGATTTCTTTCACGCGATTTTTTTGCGTCAAATAATTATCAAAATAATGATGTATCTAACCTCATTTCTTTAATGCTGTAGATCTTGTGTTTATCAAGTAGTATTGCTTGTTGTGTTTGCTGATATCTACATATGATCAATATAGTAAAATAAGTATTGTAATCAATGTGTTTTTTCAGCTGTCAATAGGAACAACTATTATAAAACAATAATTGTAATTTCTTACAATATATAGATTGGATTTTTCTATTTAAGATTCAATGTAAAAATATATGATTACAAAAATCTTTCATTGTTACATTGATAGAAAAGTGACCCAATAAAAAATTAGCATTTTTCAGGTAATGAAACAGAATTGAATCTAAAGACTAATATATTTTCATAGAAAAATGATACACATTTCTGGTCTTGAAATATTTTAGAATATTGCTGCAATATTATTGAAATGCTCAATTCTAACTGATGAGAACTCATCTGTTTTTATAGAAAAATATTAATTTAGAGAAAGAATAAAGTATAGTAACTACTTAGGTTGCAGTGTTTGAATTTTAAAAACTCATATAAAGTTGCTTTAGCACTATTTCACTCTACTTCCGCTTGTAATAAACAATAAAGATAGAATGAAGCTTACACTTAATACTCAACGCAACTATAGTTTAAAAAAATACATTATAATCAAAAGTATAACAAGAAATGTATATTCACTATCTTATAATTAAATCCCCCAATAAAATTTAAAGAATATTATTAATATATTGCTAATTTTTTAATATATTGCTTTTCTCTCAATGTTAACGATATCTATAGGGAAGAAAAAAGATACAGAAGTGCAGCAATGAAATATTACATAAAAGTAAAAGAGAGATTATAAATAATAAAATAAAGTATTATGATAATACACTGTAATATTGTACAAATACGAAATGAATACACATAGAAATGAATAACAAGATTAAATTTATAATGTGTAACAGCAATATAAGACATAAAAAGAATGTAAACAGTAAAATTTAAACAGCAACTAATCACAATTGAGAATAGTTGTATATGTAAGACTATCGTTTTAAAATTTTTTGGTTTATTATTTAAATTTTACTATTTATATTGTACACGGGAAGAATCATAACATTATAACTGCTTGTGTCACTTTTTCTCAGGGTTGGATAAGTTAATGTTTTTTTTTAATAAAGTTAAAATTAATATCTTTACAAAATTAATAAAGTTAAAGTTAATAAAGTTAAAGTTAGGTTAAAAGTTGAAAGAATAAAAAATTAATGTAAGTTAAATCAATATTGAATTAACTTAAGTTAAAAAAAAATTAATTTTGAAAAAAATTATTTTTTAGATCATAATGTCCTAGTTTGTCTTAAAATTAAATAATTACAATTAAATAATTACAATATAGATTATTAAGTAAATTAAATTTAAAATTTTTTTATTCATATGTGATAAGTATATAACACATAACGATATAACTATACAAGTTATATAACTTTAAAAAACAGCCAGCATATAAAGAAGATACAAGATCAGTGATTACTTTTTAATAAGT